TCATCCTGTACCTACATCGGATTTGAATATTTAATAATAAAATGTTTTATCTAATAATATATACATATTTAAATCCATTAAAAACGTGATTAATCTTAATGAATTATGAATTTTTATGAGTATGTCAACATCTGGAATCTGGGACAAGCTCATTTATTTTATTGCGGTTTGTCTTAAATACAAGAGCTTTAAACTTGTTGCTTTACTTCAAGCCTTACTTTTATTTTGTTGTAATGAAAAAGAGAATGAGATGAGAAAGGGAGGATTTTTACAATTCTGTTTCACATAACACTGATTTGAATTCAATATTTTTGTTTAAATTACATATTTTAATCAATATTTCGTATATTTTGGCCAAATGCCAAAAGCACTATGCAAAGTTAAGTAAAAAGAGAGAAACTTATTTGTAATATTCTTTATATGTAATTTCTAATTCTCTCTACCATGAATATCTTTTTTAATACCCAACTCTGCTTAACTGGGTGACTGATTGACCAAAAGCTGTTCCAGTGCAAAAACTCGCGCTTTTTATTTTTTTTTCTGCTTACCTTATTCAATTAAAGTGTGTTAAAATCGTCGATTTCCATCACAGTTGTGCAAATTGTGCGAAAACTAGGGGAACACGGTTATAAGGGGGGCATCACATTATTTTGATAATAAATTTGCTCGGTCCTAACCTAACCTGACTCACGAGTCCTGGCCCGATCGGACACACCCAGCCCAGCGCCCGGCCCTCCTTCCACTAACAGGAACAGAATCAGCAGGATAAGGACGGCAGGAAAATCGATAGGCACCGCAGTGCTTCCAAGGGTACAGACAGAAAAGCTTAAATCTTTAGAATATCTATTTTATTTACAGCTTGGTAAAGTAAATAATTTTTAAAATGTATTAATAACCATAAATATATTTTTTTTAAATATTTGTTCGAACATCTTCCTCACTGTGGATGTTACAAGTTACTATATAACTATAAAGCTCAAGTTTTTTTGACAGAATGAAATGCTTACAGAATGTATGTGTTATGAAACACAAATAGCTACACATATCACCTAAGTTCTAAGTTGCACTACTTAGATAGAAATTTGCAAGTACATAATGTTTGTGTTTGTAACTTCATATGCAACTCTCTATATTCAACTGTAGTGTCTCTTTGTATTCTAAGCCCATTCAGCGTTCAATAAAGGTTACAAATACATTACATATTAAAAATCGTCACAAATCTCCAAGAAGTTTCTGAAAAATATTGAAAATATAGACCTTAAAAACAGAGACTTCATAAATGTTTACAAATCACGTGACCACCGAGCATAGGCAATTCAGCAGTGCACGATTGGTACTGGTAACGAAAATTCCCTAGATCTTGGCGTCACCGATATCACTGGTTTACATGAACAATGACAAACCGTTACGTCTACTTTCGAGCTAATGCCATCGCTGATTGGTTGGATAGTATCTCGTGAAAAATTACACCAATCACAGCCGGTGAAACAGAACGTTGTGTTTTAATGTAACCTTGATCATACTATTTTAATAATTTTTACTGGTACCGAAGGTTAATGGCCAACATGAAGGAAATAAAATTACTGTCCCAGACAAAATTACGTAGCTTCATTTACAAGATCAATGATTTACAATAATGTCAACAATAAATAAAAATGTTAATTCTGATACTTGCCGTCAAATGGCCGGCGCGCGCCGTTTTTGGCGTTGTTGGTGGCCTAAATGATTTGGGAACGAGTACCAATCAAAATACTATGACACCATTATTGACCTATTGACCTTTATAAAGCCACTGTCCTATTGTAGGTCAATCTCAGAGCTGTCTACACTTTATTTGTTTGTCGTATAAAGTAAACTTTTGTTTGTAAACAATAGTGCCACTTTTCTATTGGTCTGTTAAAATTCAGAGTATCACAGTCAAGGTCTTCCGAAGGAATTAATTGCCTCAGATTATTTAAAAAAATATATTTTCTAGAATCATTGAAATGATAAACATGAAGTGTAGTCAAAATTATTTTTTTACACACAATTTTTATGAAAACAGTATATACAATTTGCTTAGTTATCTAACGATAACATTTTCCTTTACTATTAAACACTGTTTAAAATATTTTATCACATTTTTTACTTTAAATCATAGCAAATTAATATCAAACCGTCTTTAATAATACTAATACTAATAAATTTTAATTACTGATATCTCAACAACAAATTCATCAGTGTAATTAGAAAAAGTTTAGGATTAGTTTAGATGAGAATGAAAATCTTGCGGTCTAGGAACTTTAAAGTGTATTTTATTACCGTGGAATTTATTGTCCATCAGGTAAAATGTAAGACATAAGACCATTTATAAAGGACTATCTTATAAACTCTAATTTGTTACTTTGTGGGCAGTGTTTTTTTTTGTTATTCTACAGGTTGATTCATTAACAATGGGAAAATCGAAAGCTGAAGATACTACACGTAAAATGGTGACCATTGGCGCAAACATGCCTTATCCGAAAGTTGATAGTTTCGGATATACAGGGTGTTGAAAGTTAAAATTTTAAATCGTTTTTTTTGCGATTATTCTGAAAATATGTAGGTTAGGAACTTGAAAATTTGTGAAACTATGTTTTTTTAGGTGACGAATAAGATGCGTGTTGTAATTTCAGCATTGCTCATAGAGGGCGCCACTTACGACCAATTTTACCGAAAGTTTAGTTAATAACTTTTTACCCTGTATGTCTAACATGAAACTTGATTCAAAACTTTGAAAACAATAATTTTTCCATTAATTGTGTATTCTTGTTTCATTTTGGTATCTCGATCCGTTTTCGAGAAAAATCGATTTAAAGAACACTATATTTTGATAATACGAGAAATTAAAAGCGAAACAAACCAAGTGTTTCTTCGTGTTATTACAACAATTAACAATAAAACAAATAAAATACGTAATTATGATTTAAAGTAATTGTTCGAAAAATCCACCGTTGACACTGATACACTTTACACGTTTTCTGAGAGATCTTCGAGTTTGAAACAACATATTGGGATTGCGTCTGACTTCGTTGGCAGCGATTTGTATTCTTTGCCACAACTCTTCACTAATTGAAAAGTTTATTTCGGGCAAAAGCAGAAGAATGGACTTTCACAATAAAAAATAATGTTGAGTACATTTTCCCTATATTTCAATAATACTTTAAATAAAACTACCCTATTATATTGTTTTTTTTTCAATACTTTGTACCTAAATTGTTCCGCCTTCCCTGGTACGGAAGTCAAAAGCCGCCACTGCTATTTACTAGTTTTATCTACCACTGTCATCTAATTTGTCTTTTTGATTGCTCAAATGACAGTACAAAGTTTATATTTACATGGACTCTGACGACTATTACGATTCTCTGGAGGAAGATTCGAATTATGGAAGCCTTGATGGATCGGAAGAACCCTCAATCAAAAGTAAATACAAAAATCCTAGTAAAATCCCTGTCAAAACTAAAATTCGATCGCGTCAGAAAGAAATTAAGGCAAGTTTTACCCAAGAAGATGACATAATTCCTTATTACAACCAAAGCTTGAGTAAAAGCGAAGTTGAACTGAGGAAAATGTTTCTCAAACAAGAATGGGATGCTAATGGACAAAAAAGTAAACAAGAAAAGAAGTTTAGCAAGAAAAAAAATCCAGTGCCTGATGTTAAAGCGAAATTCAAAAGTACTTCGTATTTGGATATGTTCTATGCGAAAAATGGTGTGGAGAAAATAAATTTATCCACTAGAGCTACTTGCGAAGATTTAAGTCCCAAAAGTTACACTACTTGTGAGGATTTAGAACTGGCGACATCGGTTTATCTGTCAGAAATTGAAAGGTACACAAAAAAAATGGTGGTATATGGTGTGCCTTCACGCATGTGGTGACGTCACTTGAGAGAAAGACAACGGCAACATGTGTCACCATGAAAATGTATCGATACTGACTTGTAAAGTATGATTCATGTCATTTGTAAGTGTGGAAATTGGATGTTTTACATCTTACGTATCATGATAAACTTAAATCGTCTCTTTACAGTTACTATTTGTGTCAAAACGAAAGTCTGTAATTCTCTGCTGACGTCATGCGTAGGCAGGACGAAATTGAGATGTCTAATGAGCACACCATACTACATTCACATCAGGGCAAAAAGTACATTTTTAATTGATTGTTTTTCAGTATTTACAGCTCTCAGAACGCTAAAATCGCAGAGGACTTGTCTCTGTCGCTAACAAGTTTTGATTCGCAATTCTGCAGTGTTTCTCAAGTTAACAATTACATTGTTAACAACATCAAAATTAAAAAAATTGCATATGCCAGACCAAATAACGGAACTAAAGTTCCAGAATTGGGCAGATTAGGTCCCGAAATTCCAAAAGATAAGGTTAATAAACGACATTTTTCATTACAATTTTGAAGGTATTACCATAAAAATTGTTTTTAGCTTGAATTACTTAAGAAACGGCAGGATTATGGGCAAAAAGTTAGTAGAAAAAATAAGATCAAGATGATAGAAAGGAAATTGCTTCAGAATTTGCAAGAGGAGATTAAAGAATGTAAAAAAATTATGTAAAACTAATAAAACTTTTCTTAGTGTATTTCTTTGTTAATCAACGAAAAATGGGGATTCCCGGATATCCCTGAATGTAAGTTAAATAGAAATACGGAAACAATATATTTTTACGCGAGCCATCTAGTAGAAGTAGTCGAAACTAACATTTCCATTGAATAACATTCCAGTAATTTAACAAGAAACAGTATATTTGTATTGAAAAGTATGTACTTCAAAGACCAAAATCTAAAAATAAATATTCGTAAAGACATTACCGCTGTTTATAAACAAGCCATCAATGACAAGTTAATCCCAAATTTGGATTGGCTATAAAAATAGTTGGTAACTGAGTTTAGTGTTTTGATTTAAGGCGTTGGCTATAGTGAACCAAAAAGAGAAAATAGACAGTTAGTTAATTTTAAGGTTAGGTTATTGTTATTAGTTTGACATATGTGTCAATTTTTAAAAAAATTCTCATGATTTATACAACAGAATAGCCTAATACACCAACTTCCATCTTATAAAAGGAACAAGATTCACAATAACAGGTTAGTGAAAATGGAACATAGAATTTAATCATACATTCTAAATGACCTTTCATGTTTATAATAGAGGTTTTATGTTTATTGATTGGGATGAGCTATTTATTTTGTGAGATAATAAACACAGATTTATTTTCATTTTAATTACTACATGTTTTTCCTACTATGTGGTTGTTTTCAACAGATAGTTGTGCCAAACTGCGGGTTGATAGCATGGCTGATTATGAAAAACAGTTTCAAGAAGACCTGGAAAGGGCCCAGGCCCTCAGTCTAGAGTCTCTGGCATTGGAACAATTCAAGACTAAGAAACTGCAAGAGTTAAGTCGATCATCTACCACGATATCAGTTCCTACTAAGCCAAAAACAACTTCAGGTACAGAATTGTGTAAAAACAACCACTCGTAACTATATTTATTATAATTTTAGTGACCAGGGCATCTTCTATGACCGAGACAGACTCTCAAATAAAGTACGACCGTCAACTGAGTAAATCCAGACCAAGACCAGGAACGTCTACAAGTAGCACTTCTAATTCTTTGATAGCACCTCCTCCGCCCTCATCTAGAAAAAATAGTTCACCAAACGATACTCCAGACTTGATTTCTTTCTCAAGCCCACCCACCAGCCGGAGCGACATTATAGAATTTTGTAATCAGCAAAGGTTAGCTATTTTTTTTAAAAAGCGTATCGAATTTGTGAAAGATTTAGGGATTATCTAACAATCTAACCTTGAGATAATTATCACTGATTTTTATAATTGACAGTAAACATTTCCCTTTTAGTTACAATAACAACAAAGTGTCCGTAATATCTACTTCGCCGATAATACAGCAGCAGCAGCCACCCCCTCCGGGATTTAAATTCTGGCCTCAGATGACCCTGAACACAAGAATGACTCCCATACTTCAATCAAACATTCCGCAGCAGCACACCATGTACAACAGAGGGTATTTTCAATCCCCTGTCGGCATGAATATAGGTTTCCGGTCACCGCTGAGTGTTAGCCCCACAGTTCAGTCTCCCATGAGCACTACACCACCGCAGATCAACCAGAGGGTTTCCTTTTACCAGCCACATCCTCCAGGTTTCATCGAATCCAATTTTTCTGCTAGTTCTCAGGTGTGTATTAAAAAAGAAACAATGAATGACTGGAATTTGTGTGGATTGTGTTGGCACAGTTTTCATGGGCATGTTGCCAATGATGCAACAAATCCTATGATTTATAAATTGATTGTTTTAATTTTAAAAATTCAGTAATGTGTGAGATTTACGCCGTGCAACGTAACTTATTGTTTTGTTTCCCGTATGTGTTTATTTGATTCAAATCTTATACTACTTTTTCTTAATTTTGTGTGTGGATAACTCATAATACTTTTATTTAAGAAAGGGAAATTTGAATTTAGGAAATACGCTTTTTAAACAATGATTTTATTGCATATTAGTATTGATTAATAAGCATTGTTGATAAGGTTTAGTTTCTAATCATTTATCACAATTTGTGATAAGACAATATCAAATAAGTTAAAAAAGCTCCAAATGGGAAATTTGCAGGTAAATCTGCTATTTTGGGTTAACTTCTGATTTGTATCAACAAATGTTTAAAAATAAATTCAGTATTTGAGAGGTAATACGGTAAAAAAATAGTTTTACTTTGGTTTTTATTGCTTTTTTTTTCCATGAAATCTGTAGGTAATCATAAAAATACAGTCCTGCTCTACAGTACTTCGTATCGTTCTCTTTACATTGACCATAAATGTTGCGTCCTTTATTTCCTTTGCTGTTTTGGACATGGGAAAAGAACTATGAGGATTAAAGTTGTAGAGACATTTTTATTACTTTCTAGTGCCTAAGATAAAGACAAGCTTCAAATTCCATCATCTTTTTTTCAAATGGATCACCCAGTATATTTTTGTTCATTTGGATAGAACATTCTCATGAGTTTACAATGATGTAAGGTTTGATGAGACTAATTCTGCCATAAGCATAATATGATAGAACTGATTAGTAAAACCCGACATTTGCTTGCGAAGTCTGTGGTATCACTAAAAAATTTAAAGACGATTTAAGCGAGTTAAATATATTAACATAAACTTATCAGTGTTTCGTTTTATTTTAAGTCAAAGGTGCATCTCAGCATATATCTGTATCATTAAAATCGCTTATATAGTGATCTCCTTCAACCACGTACTTATCAGTGAAAAGCGCAACATATTTTGAGGGGGAGTATTTGCATATTTATTATACTTTGGCAGATCATTCGCAGTATTTTCTTCACATAAACCATAAATATTGGATTTTCTTGTAGTAAATTATTAATTTGTTATAATTCAAATGAATTCAAAAAACTTTTCCTAAAAAATCATGTCAAATAATATCAAACGATGTTTCTCAATACTAAATCTAGACAAGATTTCTATTTGCCGATATTGCTGGAAACAACAGTTCCATGGGTTCCAGTAATATCTAATAAAGAGCTAATAATAAATAATTATCCAAAATAAAAACTATAAATAATAGCTCTATATACAGGGTGTCTCATAATTAGTGTCCAATAATTTACTACTTGATTCTATTGCCAAAAATACGAATATTTTTTCATATAAACATGGGTCGAGAAATGCTTCCTAAGGAAGCTATGCCCTCCTAAATGGGGCCCCAAAAAATTCATTTTTTTTTTTACATTTCCGAAATGGGTTGAAGGAAAATTATTAATTTTGACATCGTGAGCGCTCATTGAAAGTTGAAATAGATTATCATAAAATTTTTCAAAAATTTTAGTCAGGGGCGTCTCAATTGGAGGGAGTCGTCGGCTAAAATTTGCCCCAATTTTTTTGCTTATCGAAATTTTCAAATTCAGATGCCAACATATGATAGACCCTCATTTTCTATACAAAAAAAGTACTCTTTACTTCTTTCGATAAAATGCTCATACATAGATTTCTGGTATCGTATCATTTGATAAGATTTTTTGAGAAAAAAATTACAATTTAGGTACTTGAAAATGCTCAAGCTAAACATAGAATATGTTTTTTTTAAAAGCAAATTATTAAATTATCAACTCTTTAAAAAGACTTATTTCTTGCAAGTAAACATGGCATACCTGCTTTATCAAACATTAACATGTGCCTATTTTATTATTCTTCATATCACTAGTTTTGTCGATATTTATCCACAATTTTTTTCCTCTTCAGTATCTTGGGTTTTTCCTTGACGCACTGCATGTGATGATACTGTCCACTGTTTCACAGTATTAGACCACTAAGGTACATATTTCTGCCAAAATAATAAAAAATATACACACTAAACATAAATATTAGGTTGTATAAAAATACCCGGTATGACAGTTGTAACAGACGATTTATTTATGCAATAGAACTCCAGGCGAATAAAATCATTTCAAAAAATCACATTTTATTACCGATCTGTTTACAGTCTCCACCGGCTCTGCCCCCTAAAAACCAGCAGAGGCCGCCTCCACCTGTCATCCCCAGAAGTTCTGCGTCGTCAAGATCATCAACGCCGTCTGCAAAACCACCTCCTAAAAATTACACGAACAGTCACAATTTAATAGATTTTGCTCAAGCCGATGACAAGAACAGTGTGCGTGTCAGCATTTTGCAAGAATTCGATCCCCTTTCCGACTCATATTACAGCTCTAGTAGTTCCAGAACCATCAGTCCAGATTGCTCAGGTACTAAATGAACTGTCTCAATATATTTACTAATAATTAATCTTGTAGTTGACGATACTTTATCCATATGTGGTAGCGTGTACGAGGAGTACGATCCTTACGACTTCATCTACACTGGATCGGCAAATACCAGTACTTCAGATCCGATTTATGCCACTGTGATTAGACCCGATAGTACTCCATTGTCACCGGCACCACCTCGTATGTCCACGATAGACAGACGTACTAAAAATTTCAAGGTTAGTTACTAACTTGTAAAAAAATTCAAACTGTGTTTTATTTTTTAGAGAAATTTGCTGAATATCATCGAAGATGCCAGCAATCGTTCCCTGAATAAAGATTCTGATTTAAAAGCATTTTATAACATGGTTTATAATGTTAGAAGTAAGTACATTTACATTCCTTCAATATTTAATTTTTGTGGGTGAGATGTAACCTACAAAGTACATGTCATATCTTAAATATCATTGCAACTCAATGCCTACTGGCACAAAGCGTTGCTTTGTACCTACTGACAGACTGAACTACTAATTTTATTCGTATAAATGATCCTAGATATTGGGGGTGTAATTCCATTCTGGGCAGGGTACAATATCACTGGTTAAAAAATTTAACCTCTTATTAAAACTTTTTTTTAGAGCAATACCGTTACAATGACCCCGACACAAATATGGGTCTCGTGATAAGCCCCATGGTAAATTACCAGTACAATGAGGGTCTCAGCATCAAACTCCAAGTTCATCCTGATTTCGAGGGCGCCGATTTCAACAAACCTATAAGCTTTACTTGTGACGGTAAAAAAAATTGTTCTCTTATTCTCTTTTACCTCTAGCTTATTCATTTTGCAGTGACGTCTAGTGTGGAGCACGTTACTATGCAATTAACTTACGACTTGGAGGCACCCTCCTCGAATTTGTACACCTTGAAAGTGTGGGGATGTAACGAATACTTAGTGCCTACAACCCTGCTAAGCGATTATGAATACGTTCACGATTGTATCAAACTCGATGAAGATGTGCTCTTGATCCTCATTCCTGATTCAAAAAAGGATAAATCTTTCGCTAGAACGGTAAAGAAGTTTTTATTAACGCTGGGATGTGGATAGATTATCTTTCTTTTTTTTTAGATTCAAGACGATAATGACGACGAAACGTTAAGATTTGATAACATCCTTCCTAATGATTCCGTTGTACATATCACTTATGAGAATTTGAAAATTCTGTTAGGTATGTATCGATAATTATTATCAAACGTGTATTTTATATGTTTATATCCAGAAACCGTCGAAAGTGAAATGAAGAAACTTGAAGAAGCAGCGTTACAAATCGATAGGAGTAGCAACTCTTCCGTCATGCCGCCTTTGCAACCGTTAAAAGTGATACAGTCCGTCAAATGTATAATCAACTTAATGGGTGACCTTTGTACGTTGGATATCATGCAAACGGTGGAGGCCCTCATGGAATTTTGTAGAAACTTTATACCTTCCAACGTAAGTACTACAAAGTATATTATATAAACATTATTGTTGTTATAAATTTTTAGACGGTGAGTTTTTCTGAAACTATCATCAACAGCTGCGATAAAATCCGTTTTGCCATTCAAAACCTCATAGAAATGTACTGCCAGGCGTTTACAGTGGACTTTGACGTTAAAACTCCAGCCTCTAACGAACGTAAGTAAAATCTCTGATGTCAGAACCGTTCAACCGATTGGTAATCATTTTCAGCTATCAGATATGTCCATGACGTCATGGATTCCCTTGTGATACGCATCTGTGCGATACACCGCCCTGCCTTCGAATGGGAAGAGGAAGAATATTATATCGCTGCGCACGTTTATCACGGTACCAAAAAAATTGGCAAGACTCTCTTGACCCAACCTAGTAAGAAGATTGAAAGGGACAAACTGTGGCCAACACGTATAATATTTGATAACTGGTAGGTACTTGAAGGTTCAAGGGTAATTCTTCTATGTTGATCATGATTTTAGGTTAGAATTCGAAGATGTGCCTATCAGTAGTTTAGGCAGAGAGTCCCGATTGGTGCTGCAGGTTTTCGGAAAGACCTTGGCTGCTTCTGACAGTGAAGAGGCCAAAAATTCGAGTTTACCGGTTTACAAGGAAGAGGAAATCGGATGGACGGCAGTTCAATTATTTAATTACGAGAGGTAAGAAGTGAAGTATATCATTTTTTTTTAACTTATGTTTTTGCTTTCCAGTACTTTGACTCAGGGTAGCATGTTGCTCTCGATTTGGCCGAAAGACGCAAATTACATAAACGATCACGTTTACGGGCCAGCTCCGGCAGTGGGGACTCATCCGGATCCGGACCATCCCATGTTAGGTTTAGAAATAGTTGTGCCCAATAAAGTGCAGTTTCCTTCAGTAACGCCAGAACTCTACAGTAGCGTGATCAAAGGAGATTTTTCGAGTTTGGATAACGAGACACAGCAGTTGCTAGTTGACGCCTGCGAGCAAGACATGCTGTATAAATTCCCTCCAGAAATCAGAGAGGTAAAATTTCCCATTTGCGTAAAATAATTTTTACAAAACGGTTGGTTAAAATATTTTATACGTGCTTCGTCCCTTTTTGATATTCAATCATTTTGTGCACAAAAAAAGATAGAAAACACAGAGTGTATCTTTGAATTGGGGTCATATTTATATGAATGTTTCTTTAGGAATGCATAAGTATATGAAATTCTTTTTTTTTAATCAAATAAATAATCGTTAGAATTAGTATTACAAATACATGAATTGTAGGCAATCTACAGTGCATGTGCAGGGAGATAGTACGGGTCAACGGTGACGAAGCGAAGGGTGTTAGCTGTTCCGCAGCAGCGGGGTACAAAAATTACTAAAAAAAGGTTTAAAAAAAAAATAAGTATTTATGACGGAATTTGAAAAAATAAACTATTGATACGTGTTTTTAAAGATCAAAGGAAGCCTCTGCATAAATTTGACCCACACTCAAAGCTACACCCTGTATATAGATTTTGATTTAGTGGGTAGGTTCCAATTGTATAATTAATCTTGAAATTTTCAGATTTTATGGGAGAAGCGACACTACTTATACCATTTACCCCGAGCTTTACCAAAGGTGTTATTAGCCGCTCATAGTTGGGCCTACGCTCAATTACCCGATTTACATGGTATGTTACACACGTGGACCAGATTAAAACCCATTCAGGCCTTAGAACTATTATTACCCGTGTAAGCACAATTTTTATTTTCTTTTTTAATACGATAAACTGATTCTTTTTCGTTATGACTTACGTATTATTTTTTTGTGAAGGTATCCTGATCTGGAGGTTCGAAAGTTAGCCATCAGATGGATTCGGGGCCTTACAAACGACGAACTGGTGGACTATTTGCCACAGTTAGTTGTTGCTTTAAGGCATGAGACCTACGAGAACTCTCCCTTGGCACAATTCCTTTTAGATAGAGCCTTACGATCGCCTAGATTCGCTCACTACCTGTTCTGGTTGCTCTGTCACAGTTTACCAGGAGATTCTCCGCAGGTATCGTTGAAATTCACTTGTTATTTACCATGGATATATTGATATGTGTTTTTATAGAACTGTTCGTCTGAGATGCGAAACAAAGAAGACTCGATAAGTGAAGTTCGACATCACCGAAGACTGAAGTTGTTGCTTAGAGCACTTCTAGCGATTTCCGGAAAGTCTCTCGGCGACTGTTTCCTATCGCAACAGTCTCTCGTCAAGGTATAAACTTATAAAACAACAAGCAATATATCTTTTACTTATTATTTTGTAGAAACTCAACGATATCGCGGAAGAAGTCCAGAGATCCAAAGACTCGCATCGAATAACGGTGCTGCACAACGCCTTAGGGCAGATTCACAAGGATATGCAGGATAATCCCACGAGTCTCCCCCTGTCTCCCACCCTAAAAGTTAAAGGCGTGGACGTGCAGTCGTGTTCGTATTTTCCCTCTAACACCCTACCGTTGAAGATAAATTTCTTGATGGAGGACAGTTCTATAAGACCGGCGATATACAAGGTCGGGGATGACTTGCAGCAGGACATGTTGACCCTGCAGATGATCAGACTGATGGACAAGTTGTGGCTGAAGAAGGGGTTAGATCTGAAGATGGTTGCGTTCACTTGTATACCGACGTCGAGGTGCAAAGGTATTATTTGTCGTTTAAGTTGCGTCATAAGTTTAATGTTTGCTGTCGTTTAGGTATGATTGAAATGGTTACTAAGGCTGAGACGTTACGGAAAATCCAGGTAGAGCATGGATTGACGGGATCTTTTAAGGACAAACCGATAGCCGAGTGGTTGGCAAAACATAATCCGTCTGAGTTGGAATATGGTCGAGCTGTCCAGAATTTTACAGGTAAGGATATACAGGGTATTCCTAAATAAGTGTCGTAACGGAAAACTGTAAATTCCTCTTGAAAAAAGAAACAATGTTTTCCTCTTCCATTTTTCTCTCCGGGCTTTCGTTTTCGAGATACACAGTGTCAAAACTTTTTATCCCCACTTGATTATTTCTTATGGGGTCACATGAAGAGCATTGTCTATGAAACCCCTGTCAATACGGTCGAGAGAATTGACCGTTAGGGTTGAAGCCACAGCGGAACAAATTAGAAATACCCATCAAATTATGAACAACATTCAGAGAAACATGATCCGACGCTGTAATGCGTGTATTTAAGCCAATGGGCATAATTTTGAACAGTTTTTGTAAATTTTATTCACTAAAGTGATAAACAATTAGTTTTTGTAAGTTAAAATCCTATCTGTTGTTAAATTTCGTTAAAATTGTTAATTATTAGTACCTATTTTTTGAATTCCAAGAGATTTTCGAAACATTAGCAAAATGTTTGTTTTTGTTCAAAAAGAGTAATTTTTCTTGAAAACTTTAAAGCAGTGAACCGGGAGAACTCTTTTTGTGTAAAATTCATTGGCACTTCAGAATTTGCTGTCAAATGTCAATTTTTCCAGTGGCGTAAAAGTTAGGGGGGAAGAACCCTTACGATACCTTAAAATCTCCACCACTGACACGTCCAATGAATTCGAGAAGGGTGCGAAAAAGTAACTATTAATAGTGGTTAATGTGTATACAAAAGCTCAGTCCTGTAGTTCAAACGGTTCCTAAGATATTGACAATAAACTAAAAAAAAAAATAAAATTTTTGTTATTTAGGAACACCCTGTATAATATTTTTAGATGACGAAACCTTTGGTTGAATATCAATTGCACATATAATTATCCCAGGAAACAAATAAAAATAATTTGTATATTGACTGATACGAAAAAAATACTCCTATAAAACAAAAAAAAAGTAATAGTTTAACAGCAAGAGTAGATAAAGTACTTTAATTTCTTTTTATTGCTGTTTATTCATTTTAATATTTATAAAAATATCACCTTCATAAACAGATGGTTGTCGTCTGAAGCATCTTTTAAAATTCTTATCATCCTGATTCCAAGACATTTTTTAAAATTCTAACTATCATTTAATTATTTAGCAATAATTGTAATCAGTTTGCTGTATCCGAAAACATTACGAAGCGTTATTTGATGGACCGAGCTCGTCAGTGGTATTACTTACTTTTAAATATCAAAAGTTTCATTTACCAGCTACGTTGACTGTAGTCGAGTAAGAGGGTCATAATGTTGGCAATTTTACTTTTTTTTGATTTCTCCAAAGAGTATGACTCACATCATTGATAGTATTTGCGCTTTTCCACTTTTGAAAGCACATACAGTGCACTTCAGTTATCAAATACCCTCTAAAGAGAAAAAAAATGTATACTTTATAACCAGAGGTACACTATAAAAAAAAAACATAAAAATAATATGTATTTTTCATTTAAATAAACAACTAAACTAAGAATAAATAGAAAAAATTGCATATGCTGCATATACATAAACTGAAATAAAAGTCTCGTGATTTATTTCTATACTTTTGTTCATCAAATTCAATAAAAAAAAATATTAGTTCGATGATATTTATTTTTAGAGGTAGATTACTTTTAAAGTTAAAATAATTATCAGTTATGAGTGACCTTTAGAACTTAAAATATCGATTTGAAATTTTCAGAATCGAGATTTTCTTCAACCTAGAAAATGATAAAATAATGAGAAAAAAAATTTAAAAAAAAATAAATTTTTGCCAATCTAGGAAATTTTTAAAAATCTTGAGCAACCTCTAAAGAAAATTTTGTGTGCTGATTTTTTAAGGGGGCTCTTAAAACATGATAAACTAACATATTTTCACAAGAGACAAGAAAAAAAGATTTGTTTTTTTTGGGCCACCCTAAAGTACAGAAATATGTACATATGTTTGTAAAACAACATTTTGTTTATTATTTTTCGGTAAAAAATCTTGTTATTTTTGTTTGTTGACTTTTCTTACATAATTTTATATTCTCGATGTGCTTCTCAATTTGCTTGCAGAATTTCCGCAGGAATCACCTTTCAGTTATAACGTACATTCGTACTTTACAACCAGAATATGGCAATTATGTGGGTGAAAATATCGAACGTTATAGCTGGAGTTAAAATTATTAATGATACACTATATCCAGTAAAAGTACAAGAGCAATTGGCCGGGTCCAATTAAATGAATACGTAAACATCGGAAGTACGTTACATCCCATGTACATTATAGACAGACTACACTGTATATTCTTTGTCGTATACGAGTAGCAACTGTGATTTTTGGGGCAATTATATTTTTTCCTAGGGTCAATTCAAGAGACGATATTTAAATATTCTTCTGTTTACACAATGTGTAGTTATTGTAATTAGGAATTCGATTAGATATTTCATTTTGATTCATAATCATTCAAAATAAAATAATCGTATTTTAGCTGATGTTATGCTGTTTTTATTTTTGTATGTAATTTTTAACTGTTGGCACTTTCTTTTTATATTACTGACAAAATCGTTATTAGGCGCACCTTTTTGTGTTATTGTACTTTTGTTCATTATTGCTTTTTTTAATGTTTCTTTTGGAATTTTTGTTTCCTCTCTACCCTCTTGTCCTGTTGTTAGGTTTTTATACCTGTAGAACACTGTATCACATACTAACATTGGTTAATATTTAATAAATTATGCAAATGTGCGAAAATGTAAATTTTTTGAAAACACATTTCTTTTTCGCCACTTCATTTGTATTGACATCAAAAAAGTATTGTCTTTAAACTAACTTTACCGATATGTCTATCATTAGACTTTAAGTAAAACGTGAACTCTATATTTAAATAAAATAACAGACTTTTTTAAATCCGAGATGATTTGTTAAAAAAGAGGATTAAAAATATTTATATGTGCAAATTAACATTTACCCGATGACTATTGTATTGTATAGTCCATTCACTTTGCATTTTCACTAATACATAACTGGAACATTTTTTAAGCGTCATGTGCTGGGTATTGCGTCATCACCTACATCTTGGGCATCTGCGATAGACACAACGACAATATTATGTTAAAAACATCCGGCCATTTGTTTCATATAGATTTTGGGAAATTTTTGGGCGATGCACAAATGTTCGGGAATTTTAAAAGGTAAGTATTGTTCACACGAGTTATTCGCTTATAAATCTCTCAATTCCCAGAGATCGGGCTCCCTTCGTTTTGACGTCAGACATGGCGTACGTTATAAACGGCGGCGACAGACCGACGGAGAAGTTCCACCAATTCGTCGACTTGTGTTGCCAGGCGTTTAACATCATCAGGAACCACAGGAATCTCTTTTTATTTTTGGTAAGGTACAAAATATATTAATTTTCTTTAATGATAATGACACTTTTTTAGATAACGTCTTCGGGAATATGTCGCATTACCCCGGAATCGATAGGTTACATGCACAAAGCTTTGCTGCCGGAACTGTCGAATCCAGAGGCTGCAGCCTATTTCACGAGACTTATAGAGGAGTCGCTGAAGACCCGGTTCACTCAGTTCAACTTTTTCCTGCATAACTTGGCGCAACTGAAATTCACCGCCGACAATAATGGTGGTTCGTTGCTGTCTTTTGTGCCAAAAACATACAGGTATTACTGAATTTCTATTTACGAACACTTGTAATATACTGTACTTTTCGTTATTAGCTCTACTCTAATTGAATCGGTTGTAACAATTTTCAATGTTTTTTTTTTAGTATGGCCGCTGACGGGCAATTGGTACACGTGGAAGTCGTGAATTACAGAAAACGTTATGATCCAGACAAGTACTACGTGTATGTTTTGAGAGTTTACAGAAAGGATCAGAAACAGCCGATGGAGATACAAAGAACTTATAAGGAGTTTTGCGAATTGCACCAGAAACTGTGTATTTATTTTCCGTTGGCAAAACTTCACAGGTAACCAAAAATATCACTAGTTGCTTTATATTGAACAGCGCTTTGTCAAAATGTGCTTACTCTTCTTAATCATATCGAAAAAATTTCTCTAGGATTCTATAAAAAAATTCCTATTTAAAAAAGTTGTTTACGCAGACTTGAACAGCCTTCAACACATAACATTAATTAACAATCTGTCAAGATACAAGCTAATTTATAAGATTCGTACGTTATCTGTTGCCAATGTTCACAAGTGCGTCTTATTGCATCCAATATGTCAGTCAAGAGATAATGTGAGATTTGTGGTATTAAAATTGATGGATTTCTATTGTCATACCTCTATTTCTACATATAAACAGTATTTATATAATCTGATATGAGTGTTTTACCTTGTTCAATTTCTATAACTGCTTAGTGGAATTGTATTACAAATATTTTGTAAACATTCCATGAGATAATGATGGGAGTGCTTAAAAAAACGCCGTTACACTCGAGATTGTCACTGATAAAGCAATGAAGTAAATTATTTTTTTACAAAAAGTCATAGATAAATATAAAAATTTTATTTATAGTAATGATGTGTTGAAGTGTTTCTATTAGATCAAAAGAAGTTTGCCTCCAAAGTTACTTCAGGGATCCCTTCTAGAGCCTCTTTTATTTAACCTACCCATTAATGATTTTTATAAATATTGTGAATTAAAATTGAAAGAAGTCATTATGTAAAAAAAACTTTTATTTTTCAATATTTATAACTTAAACTTATCGTCTAGAATTACATACAAAACCCACACATATAAATACATGAATAACTAACAATCTGCCCCGCTGCTACGCCTCTCGTCGTCATCCTCCATCAGTTGAATCCTTCTCGGTCGTGCAATTTCAGCCTCTTCTCCTTCCCCAAAGAAAATACTCGCCGCTTGACTGCTGTAACCCATCCTGGTGAAACGAGGCTCCTCTTCTTCGTCGTGAGACTGTTCGTCCTCAGACCGAGAGTAGGTTCTGCTCAGATCGTGCTTCATTATGTTAATCTTGAAGTAGTCGACTTCGTCGTCTGTAACGTGATTTGGAACGAAATTTATGTTGAAATTTTCATCCGTGGCCGGCTCGTTGTATTTCTGTTGTAATTTGTTTGAGTCTAATGGTAAGCTCTTTGTGAAATTTATGTGGTCAATTTCCATGGTTTTATCGAAACTGGAGCTTCTGGAGCTGTGTTGGGTCATGAAAATCAGGGTTGATTGGTCATTGAAACCACCGTTTTCTTTCGCGGAAGTTTCAGGAACAGACTTGGGTTTTAAATAGGTGTCAGACATGTATTCTGTACCGTTGGTTAATGTTGATCGGTCATTGAAACCACCGTTTTCTTTCACGGGAGTTTCATAAAAAGACTTGGGTTTTAAATGAGTGTCAGACGTGTATTCTGCACCGTTTGTTAACGTTCCGTCTTCGTCATAAGTAGTCACCTTTTTCAGAATAGACTGAGCGTGTTGTTCGTTCCTCACACTGTGGTCTGTAGAATAGAGGTGGTTGTTCGTGACGACTGCTACTTTCTCGGTAACCAAGCCGTTGTGTTCTTCAGTGGTTTTTTTGTATTTAGTGTCGGAAACAGCCACACTGGTGCCGTTACTCGGTACGGTGAATGTGGTGGAGACTGTGATAGGGTCGTTCGATCCTGCGTGTCCATTTTGTTGTTTGTGAATAGCTGGGGATGTATCGCTATTCAGATTCGTTAAGGATAAGCTTTTCTGTGGTGTTGGAGCAGGCGACGATGATTGTAAAGTTTGGGTCTCGGGGAAAACCGCTGATTTGGTAAGAGCCTTCCTGTCTTTTTTCTTGGAGTGAGGGCGGACCACCTCGTTTTTCTTTATGCTGTTCGCTTGTAGGGATTTTTCAGCTAAAAAAAAAAAATTATTTTACATTTTAATTTAAAAATGTTTAGTTTGATTCACTTAAAAATGTGCACCATGTGTCTTGGTAAAAGTCAAAACATCGAATTATTTTTTAAATAAAAACAATTGTTCAAGTAACCATATTAGATTTAATAGAATTAAATATTTACATAAACCACATATTTACATTAATTTTTTAACATACTGTATATCGATTATGAATGCGGTGTACAGTTTTGTTGAAATAGTAAACAAGAGATTAATAATACAATAATAAATCCTTTTGATCCAAGGTTTACTTACAGTCTGGCGCATCAAACTCTGAGTGTATGTGGTATTTTAGGCACACTATTTCTTGCGGTTTATTTTTACTCGAGCTGCTGCCAGTAAACTTAGCTTTAAACCCCCCGAAAAGTCCCATTTTTTTATGTACCGTACCCCTTAAGGGACTGGAATGTAATTTTTTTGATACAAAAACTGTTACTAATCAGTATTGGCAATGTATGTCTTATCTAAATCATTTGATAGATTACAAGCTGATAGTATGTAATTTATCTATAATGCTACACTTCATTGTTTTTAAGAGATGTTATCTGTTTTCTGTGGCATTGAATCACTGTTACTTTGCCCGATTTACACAGTGGATTGAAAAAAATGTTGTGTTTCCCTTTTATCCTGAGATAAAGTAAATTCAAATCGATGATGCGGTACAGAGTTTTCGGAAATATGTTCTGTTCGATTTTCCAAACGTTACTTGCTGTTTTTCCTTTATTAATAGTTATCAGTCGGATTTATCTCTGGTATTAACATTCTCTCGAAACACGTATAGAACCCTAAAACTCACGTGAAATATGATTTTATCAGTCTGAAAATAAACTTCTCAACTAGTTCTAAATCTCTGAGGCGTATTATCATAATCCCTTCTCACAAGTGGGCTATTGTTTGTCTTTAAATATACAAATGATGTTAGAATTGCTCTTCCATCATGTTCTTATTTTGAAACATTTTTAGGCATTTCAGGGAGTGAATTTAATTTCTTTTATCTAAAAGTAATCTTGAAAAGACGTTGTCAATATTTGTGTTACTCAATTCATGCGACAATAATAACTGCCTTTATTAGTTGGATGCAATAAGGAGATACCCGCATTTATTATTTTTATTATTTTCAATTGCTAAAAGCTTGAACTGGCTAAAGTTTCGTACTAAAATGGGGAGTTGCTTGAACAATTTGATACTTTATCGAATAATCCTGGAATTAGTTTTGAAATAGTCTTTATAAGGCTAATACAGGGTCCGGCAGAAAGGTCGGACGGAAATAAGGGCCGATGACGAAAGTTTTGCCTATAGCGTGCCAAACCGTCACTTTCGTGCTATGCAGCGTTCTTTCATGTAATGTTCACGGATTTTCATCAGCCGAATAACGACAGTTCTGTTGATTGTAAGAAACAATTTGTCATTAAAAAAAATTACTCATTGTACTCAAAGTTTTGAATTTAAAAGTTGATACAACTATTATATTGTGAAATTGGATAAAATGATTAAAACAGGTTCATAAATTAACTAATTTTAGGTGGTATTAAAACATAGTAAATAATTTTGTACAAATTAGATGTACCGCTTAAAAAAAATCTAATAATTATATTGCATGTATTATAAAATTATTATTGCAGTTATAAACATCTAACTGATGCGCAATATACAGGCTGTAACTTTGAATGGGATCGTATTTATATTGACCTTCAGAAACTCATACAAACACATAAGTTGTTTTTTTTAATTTTCATACTCTCTGCTTGATAGGCGGAGGTATGAAAATTTGAAAAAAAAAGCTCAAAATATTCACTAAAGAAGAGAATTGTTATTTAATCATGTTTATCATTGAATCCTCTCTTTTTAGTTTATCGACTGGTCTACATATGGGTCGCTCCAACATAAAACAAGTCGCCCAAAAACGATTCCAAGAAATCAGCCTCTTCGTCAAGTCGCTCTTCTTGTGCGCTCACGAAATAGCCCACTCTGATCTAGTCTACACTTTCTTCCATCCCCTCCTGAGAGACCAGCAGTACCCCGACGAATACTCCAAAAAAGTTAAAGGTACGTTCTATACTTTTATAACACCAGTAACGGGAAAAATTATGTTTTTTATGCTAGATCGAACCGATTTCCAAAACGAATCAGGAAGACTGAAAGGTCAATTAAAACTTTCTTTACAATACAACAAAGGGGTGTTTTGTGTGATGGTTCACCACGCGAGAGGTCTGCCGAGGTTGTCAAACGGCCAGGAGCCCTCTACGTACGTTAAAGTTTACCTGCAGCCCGACGTACAAAAGAGTACCAAGCGGAAAACGAAGGTTGTGAAGAAGAACTGCCACCCTAGCTTTATGGAGATGGTAAGTAGCACCATTCAATAAATTTGATCATATGAAAATTATAAATCGTGGTTCATATTGGTATCAATAAATAGAAGAAGAAGAAGAAGAAAAAGTAGTTCAAAGTTTTGGCGGCAAATACAGCAATACTCTTAGAATTTATTGACTAACTTTATGTGTAAATATTTCAGCTTGAATATCGAATGACTCTAGAGATAGTGAGGACGAGAAAACTGAAGGCCACCGTCTGGAATTACGATGCTCTGCAGGAAAACGAGTTCATGGGCGGCGTGGAGCTGGATCTGGGCAGTCTCGATTTAACTGCCGAAACGAGCGAGTGGTATTCCTTGTGCAACCTAAGCAGATAGCAGTTGTACTCTTTCAGATGATACAGCGGCAAATATCAGTTGCTGGTAATGTGACAGGTTTACGATCTCGGCAAAAAATTTGATACGAACATTGAAAAGTAGTAGGGTTCATCTCAGTTGAGGGAAATAGTGAGGTTAAATTTTTACATCTTAAGCAAGGTTTGTGAAAGGGTACCAGTGGGGGTGTTTAGTGAAAACGCTAGGTCTGAAATGTCACTGAATAGAAATAGAAAATTATATATATGCACATTTATTATGAGTAATTAGTAAATTTAAAAACTCTCGCACATTGATAAAGTACTGTTAAATAGAAAAAGTTCTTGAAAGTCTTCATATTTTGATTAAATTTTGCGTTTTTCTAGACATTCCCACTAATTCGCTGCACAAACAATGTAATCCTAATATCGTGTTAATTATTCAAGTCTGACTTTAGTATAAGAGGCAAATAGTTTGTACGATAATCGAACTTAGCTCCTAAGGTGCTATCAACTTTTACAATGTAATGTAATTGCCAAAAAATTCACAAAAACAATCACACTTCTTGTCTAACACTCTTATTTGCGGTTATAGAGATTTTTATTTAAGAATTCTTCTTGGTAGGCGTTCGTTGTATATTTCTGCACGGTATAACTATGCTTTTGAGTTGTGATGTGATGGTTGCGAGGTTATGGCTGAAAAAAAAAAAAAATATTTTAATGTTTAAATACAGGGCGTCAATTATGTACGTCAATCAACTTTAAGGGGTGATTATTTGAGTAATTTTAAGAAAAAATATTATATATGGACCCGCACCACTAACCGATAGATTTCAAGATACAGGGTGTTGAATTAAAAAAAATAACCTATATGTACACCAGTGGCGGATATACCGGGAGTTACTTTTATCAAAAACTCCAGAAATTTGATGCCACTGAATATTTTAAAAATTGTCTCACTACTTTTAACTCTTCGTGTTGCTTTCAAGAAAAGGATACCTCATTTAATTTTCAAAACACCAAACACTGCATAAAATGTAAAATAATTCTAGAGCTATTCATTTTCCAAAAAAATTTCATAGGTCTATTTTGCTAGAAATACCGTTTTTCAGTTTAAAATCACTCAAAAAGTCGCCCCGTGAAATTTCTCACATACTTATTTAACATCCTGTATATGCAAAAAATTATTTTTAATTAATTATATACAAAATATATTGCTGAAAATTCTTTTAGAAGATCTTCCGCAATTTTTTTACAGAACAAAAGTTTCTACTCGTGTTATATTAATTTTCATTGGAGTAAATAATTAAGGAGTATTGTGGGATATATTTATTATTTTTATTTAATTGTTCATAGTCATGAAAAAAAAAACAAAACATACAGGGTGATATATTTTAGAATAATAACTGTTATTATTATTTTTTCCTTTCGGGAAAGTTAAAAGAATTTAGTAATTGCTCATGAGTAACCTACCTCTAATTTTCACGAAATTTGATTACATTCATGCCTCTGTTCCTTGAATCTCATTTTTACCTTTAGATATTAAATTTCTGTGCATTTTAATATTTTACATTCAACGACTGTTCTTCGTCTCAAGCACAAATTTGATACATAACCCATTTTGAGATGAATCGATCGTCTATAAGTGACACATGAATTTATGGAATTATACAGCTTTTATAAAAGCAACGGGTAGAGTATAATAGCGCGAAGACCATTGAGGTGGGAATTTGTAATCAATTGCTAAAATTCAAACAAATAAACTGAACAAATGAAGACCTCAGCGACTGACTTCAATGCAACACCCTGTGTGTAAAGAGTTAATGCCAAAGTTGCAGTGGTAGTAACGTTTTTAGAATTATTTATTTTAAGTAGTAATCATGCATATTTATTTCTTAATTATACAGGAAACGTAATCATACTGTATTGATTAAAGTATTACTCCCATTCCTAAGTATTATAGATGGATTGAGTGTTCGTCGGAACTGTTTCCGTATAATTCGAGAGGCGTTCTTTTGAAACCTCGTATTTTTTATTGCATTTTGAGAAATGGGTCCGATGATCGATTTTAAATGAGAATTGTATAATTATTAGCATTTATTTTGTAATTCTTTATATACGTAATATATATATACACTTATTATAGCTTATTTTTTCGTTTTCCTTGTACAGCATTTATCTTAATCTTAATGGCCCTCATAACGCCTTGATTCATCTAGTGGTGACTAATGTAATTACTGACGAATGCCTACTATCTAAATCAGGATTTTAAGTACCACATTTATCGTTTATTTAAATACCTATTTTTAATGCTGAATTTTTGAAATTTTTACCTGGATGTTAATACCAGCGTTACAAGTGAACCTTTATACCTACTATTTGAACAATTAATAGATACCCTAAAATTGTGTTGCAGGCACACACCGTAAAGACTGCACGCGTCGTTCTCGCAGTTGAGAACCAGTGACGACAAAATGCAGGGAAAGTAACTAGAATTACGCGTACTCTGAATAGGCTGACTATCAAGGGCATCATGATGTGTCTTACAATATAAATTTAAGTTTAAAATTTCAGAACAAACTTTTTGTGCTTCATTCTGAATTAAACTACACAATAATTTCAATATTTTTATTGACCTTTAAATATAAATATTTGGTTCAACAAGTTCAAATACAGGGTATACCACCACGAACTCCATCGATGGATATCTGGGAAACCGCTTGAAGGATTTTTTTGTAATTGTGATGGTGTGATACAGACCGTGGGGCCTACCAAGCTAAATATTTTCAAGATCATCGTACTTCCGGTTATACCGGAAGTCGATACTAACTTTCTTATTTTAAATGGAACTCCCTGTATATTATTGCATTTTTCGCAAGAGCATCCATTCTTAAATTGAAAATATATAGCACACTATATTTAGGATTGACCGTTTTCAAGATATTTTGATTTTTAAGCAACAATTGACAGATGCAGACTATTAGCAAAATTTAGTTTTCCCAGAAACATAGGTTTATTTTTTTGTGCAAATTGGACGATTTGTAGAGGAATCCCCAATTTATCGAATTTGACATGAAAATTTTTCAGTTTTTATACAGGACGGTCAAAAAAATTTTATCGAATATGAAGTTCAGAAAATGTGGAAAACTCGAAACTTTGAAATCAAAACCCCTAATTTTTTTAACGTATTCACATTCTGCACTACAATTAAGTGGAACTTTGTTAAAGTTTCCCTATACCTAAACCCAGTGGTTTTCATTTTATTTACAAATAAACATTTCCCTTTTCTTAAAATGATGTTTCCATCTGTTTCGCACATTTTAGGTTGGCCGTGACAGGTAAATAACAATCAACATTGCAACTGTCCCAGGTTTTTAATTTCGAAGGGGTCTAGAAAAATTCCCAATAAAAACATCCCATAAAAAGTACCATTTTCATTAAAAATTAAAAAACTTTTTGAAGGAACAAAAACGACATTGATTTCGTTCTACTTTAATTTATTATATAGTTATAGTTTCTATAAACAATATTCAGGAAAAACGCAAAAAAATTGACGTTGCAAAGTTGAATTTTGAAAAAAGCATCTGAAATCTACAAAATTCCTATCAATGAAACAATGTAACTGCCGTCATCATCAGCACAATTTGTCACTTTGGTGCCTAGATAAATGATACTATAGATAGGAAACTTGAACAGATTTCGTGGTCATTAACAGCGCTAACTGTTGACACTTTCTCCAACTTCTATTGCTTTCCTTTTCTAGGAATTGTCGGTAATACAGTGAGTTAAATTACCTGTAGCCGGTAAAAGATGCAAGCGCCATCTAGTTATACGCTCTACAACTATATACCTACCTACTNGTGAAAAGATTTAAAAAATTATATTTTTATGGAAATAGTTTTGTCTAACCAAAAATCTCACACTGGACAAAAACAGACAAATACAAAAACTCATCACTATGTATTGCTATATTTATCATTCAATCATTTATTAATTTTTTTACAGGTGTCAAATACTCAATAAATAAATTAAAAAATGCAGGATTATCGCGAGGTAAAACAGTAAAATCAGCCGATTTACTTTTGCTTTGTCATGTAGAAAAAAATTTGTATCAGAAAAGTCTCTTTAAAATTTTTTCTTTCAGTAACATCTTGTACCCTTATAAAGTGTGTTTTGTTCTAAGATCCGAGAGTAAATCGTACATTCCATGTGCTTACTAAGCTGTTTGTAAGCAAAAAGAAAGGGGTCCAGTACGTCCATCTTAGAAAAGTGTAATGTCCTACGTTTTTTGGTATGCTGATTACAAAATATTACCTCCGCTTTGCTGTAATTGAACCATTTCAGAAATATAGAGGAAAACAGAACAAGGGAAGAGCAACACCCACAAGAGGAATGATATCTGTATATTCTTATATTTCTTATAGATTTAGACAAGGCAGGTCCAGAAGCCATTCCTGGCTACTGTTGTCAATGTCAATGTAAGAACGGACTTAGAAAGGTAGGATGTGTGCGCACATCATGACAGTTATTTGGTATTTAGGGCATGGGCAATACCAAGGAAAAATAGGACTACCCGCCGAAGATTTATCGCTAATGCCAGTTTTGCAAGAGTATTCTGATGAAGGTAACTAATAAAAAATACAAGGTATCCATTAGAGCGCTACCTATTAAATGATATTAAACGTATTAAACTTAATAGTACAGGCATTACAGTAGGATCACCCTCAAAAACTGACGGTAAGAGTATTCCATGATAAAAAGGTGTAGATCGTGTTGGTGAATCAGATTATGGTTCGTGCCGCAAAAAAAAGTCAGCGTTAATTTTTTATAAGCAAAAAACAGGTGAAAAAACAGGTTTTATTAATTTTTAATATAGAATTTCTGCATTTAAAACAATGTAATTTCTACAAGATATCAGCGCTAAAAAGCCCTTTAATTTGAATGATCGCACGTCAAAATCGAATAAATAGTTATTGAGTTATTGCAAAAAACCACTAAAATAAGCCATTTGTTAATTATTTAATAGCTTTAACAATTTGCAAAATATCAATTTCTACCATTGTGTAAACTAAGCGTTTCGAAGGGATAAAATTACGGTTCAAATTTGGAAGAAAAATATTGAAAACTTTTTATGTAATAGCAATTGTTATTAAAAATGGGACTTTTTTTNACACTTTTAAATGCTCTAATAGTCTTCCTACTTAAAATAAGAAATAATTTTGATACTGTAACTTTTTAAAATGTTTGTTGAAAAAATTTCAAATTTCAGTACATATTTTGAAAAAAAAAAGAGTGAAAATGATTATAGAGTTTCAGTGCTTTCTATATTGTATTAGCTTTCACGGTGAATAAAAAAATATTACAAGTAAATAATTTTACTAAACCAGTCTTTGATTAATTCTTGTAATAGAGATTTATTATGCAACTTTAAATTTTTCGTTGTGTTGATATCCATAAAAAAACTACCTACCTCTGATCACATTTTTTATTAAAAAAAAAAACAAAAAAGCAACATTTTATCATTAATAAAAAAATGTGATTATATGATGATCAGATATTATTATGTTATATAAATAAATGTGAATGAAATATCTAATAAAACACACTAAAAACACAAATAAAACACACACCAACACTCGCCAAACCTAACCAACAATAAATAATAAACATGAACAAGAACAAAAATGACATGAAATGATTCATAATTGCAATTGTCAAAATTTATTTTACAAAATCTTTGTGGCGACATCTATAGACTCTTACCCCAACTTGTATATCCATCTCAAGTCACGTGGTTCCCAGAGTTTCCCCATATTTTCAAGTATAAGTTCTCGGGCCCTGCTTTGGTGCGTAAATAAAACAGCGTGGAGACGAGGCCTACTCATATGAGTAAATAAATCAGAGGATTTTGTGTTAACCATGTCTATCAAATGCACGAAGGAAATCGATTCCTACAGCTGTCGTACTGGGTATTTTTATTCAATTACTAATTTTTATGTTCAGTTGAGTAATATTCCAATGTGTGTCCGATAGTGAACAATTTTGATTATTTTTGCAGAAAGTAACCAGGATTATAATTATCGTCATACGTATCGCGTAAAATAGGTTTATTTTAACACAGTTACATTAAGGGTTTTTTGGCGAGAAAACCGCTAACCCGGTTAACTATGGTTTGTTGAGGTTTGACGTTTTGGCGAGAAATGTAGTTAACCCGGTTTGGCAGAGTTTGCCTAACCATCAAACCGGACTTGTGGGTTGGTTTGGATATTAAGTTAATATTTCTATCTTTGTTTATTTATTTTCTGTTTCGTACCATCGTACCTAGTCACTACTTCGTTTTTTTAGAGGTTTGGATAGGTATAAGTTGTAAATAAAAAAAATTGATAATGGATTAACTTTGCAAAAAATACAAAGTAAATATTTAAAATTGATAATAAAAAAATAGTAATCNTAAACAATTTAAATTGAAAAAATGATCAGGTAAACGGGTCTGCATGAAACTAGAACACTTCACGAAAAGAACGAGCCCTTGCTGAATGCTGCGCGACACCCCCAATCGATAGAAATTATTTAAAAAAAAGTCCCATTTTTAATAACAATTGCTATTACATAAAAAGTTTTCAATATTTTTCTTCCAAATTTGAACCGTAATTTTATCCCTTCGAAACGCTTAGTTTACACAATGGTAGAAATTGATATTTTGCAAATTGTTAAAGCTATTAATAATTAACAAATGGCTTATTTTAGTGTTTTTTTTTTGCAATAACTCAATAACTATTTATTCGATTTTGACGTGCGACCATTCAAATTAAAGGGCTTTTTAGCGCCGATATCTTGTAGAAATTATATTGTTTTAAATGCAGAAGTTCTATATTAAAAATTAATAAAACCTGTTTTTTCACCCGTTTTTTGCTTATAAAAAATTAACGCTGACTTTTTTTGCGGCACAAACCATAATCTGATTCACCAACACGATCCACACCTTTTTATCACGGAATATTATTACCGTCAGTTTATGTTCATTTTGGACATTTCTGTTGCCAGAATGCCTGTACTATAAAGCCATCTATGGCAAAAGTACTTTTTTGAAATATTTGAAAAATTCATGATAAGTAGAGCTAAACTGAGATCTAATTCTGTGTTGCGGACGAAAATACATGGAAATACCATGGTTTGGTCTGTTGCGCATAACTTTTTTCATTTGTGGGTCAGTGGAATTTTTGAACTTCCAATTTTGTAGGTTATGGCTGTTGACTTTTTTCTTGGCTAGACCAAGGTACTACAACTTCGTACACTTTTCAAAATTGGACGTTGTGGACTCAAAGTCCCTTCAGACTTTGGCACCCTTTTTATATAAGTATCCTAGCAAATACGATTTTTAGGTCAAGTTTTTGGGCTTTACTTTCAGTAACCCAAAGTCGTATTTGCATTTATCTACAGACTTTAATACTAGTTTTGGCAGAAATATAAAAAAACATAAGTTCTAAATTTGTTGCTCAACTTGTTTAAATTATTGATGTTGAAGGTTATATCCATCAGGTATAATTTGAATAAAACTGTTTTACTTAGCAACTATATTGAAATTGTTAGAGAAATGGCACATCCATCACAATTCAAAAAATAGAGAAAATATAATGAATTCCTAAGGCAAACTAACGTAATTTTATTGCAGAAATCTGCATACCAAAATATACAAAATCTCAGTTACCTATCTCAAAACCATGCTTGGCGTAGCATATTTGTACCCTAAATTTGTTGAGATATATTTAACTTTTTCTTTACCGAGTGTCGGTTTTAATGGGCGAACATTTTTCTGCTTGTAAGCCCACTTCCATAAAAACCAATAAAACAGTATTACTAGTGACATATTAGCATTAGTCGTATTATTAATAGTTTAAAAAGCCCTTTTAATTTATTTCACAAAAATATAGATTTTCCATTGATTTCTACTGACCAATTTGTATTTTCAAATTCCTACAATAAGTTCCAGACAAAATTTTACTATTTATTGATGAGTCGCTAAAGCAAATAAACTTTTAAAATCTCCTGTATATATTATATGCAAAAATTTCAATTTGATATGTGACGTTGTGACTTTAAAACTTTTTTTTCAGAACAACCACAAATCCAGTTGTTTTGTAAATATTACTTTATTGAATCGTCTTTCAAATGTTTTTCTATTCTATCCAAATTCAATATTTAAATAAGCCAGGGGACGATGGCCCTCCTTCAGTGTTAATTGTTCATTGTACCTAATTAAGTTTATGAAAGTTAGTTTCACCCAATTTAAATTCCATTTTTATTTAAACTAACTACTTCAGTTCCCAATTAGTGGGGGATAAGTAATGAAACGCAAACAACATGAAGAAATTGAACTCCCGAGCTGCTCGANGGTTTGGCAGAGTTTGCCTAACCATCAAACCGGACTTGTGGGTTGGTTTGGATATTAAGTTAATATTTCTATCTTTGTTTATTTATTTTCTGTTTCGTACCATCGTACCTAGTCACTACTTCGTTTTTTTAGAGGTTTGGATAGGTATAAGTTGTAAATAAAAAAATTTGATAATGGATTAACTTTGCAAAAAATACAAAGTAATATTTAAAATTGATAATAAAAAAATAGTAATAGAGGATCCAAATAACTTTAATCGTAGATATGCATATTCTATATTGCACTGTATAGATCTTTATTAACTTCCTTTTAGACGATACATTTACGTGGGAATAGATATTTGTGAAAAGGTAAACCCATTTTGATTTAATAACCATCTATACATTAACGTTATTACGTGGATGTGCATTTCAGATTAGGAATAACAATTGTAGTATATAAGAAATAATCAAACAACTTGAGCTACGAGCACTATCATAGATTATAGGTTACGATTTTATTATTGATTAGATATCCAAACTAAAAGAATTTTTGCGAGTTCTGTCAAATGTTAACTCAAACTCTTAACACAATCAAACTCGAGCTAACCGGGTTTGATGTGGTTTGGCTCGCCAAAAAACCCTTATTGTTTTTTCCACCCCAGTTTGTCAAATTATGCAAAAAAAACAATATGAAACTTGTAGAGGATGTACCAGTTAAACAAAACACACTGTATGCTATAAATAAATAAATTATATAACACAGTGAGAAAGGAAGGTGTACAAGCAATTTTCTAAATGCTAAGTAATTTAACAGAAATAATTTGATTATTTTCACTAAAAATGTTAATTGTATTTGCTTTGGTTAATACAGAGTGAAAGTAAATACTGACTGTAATATTCAATTACAGTAATATTTTCTACTTCGCCAAATTTTCTTGGTAGTTTTTGTTAGCTGGACATTCCTATTGGCATAGAAAAGAAAAAGGAAAGAGTAAAAGCGCCGAAAGTATTATGGAGACCTGCTAAATAGAAAGCTACTGTTAATATATTTCCCCGTTTTATAAGGTAATTATACAGAAAAAGTGGGAGATTAGGTACTTATTTGATGGTTTGTATTTCTATGCGACATATCTACGCGCAGCGGCTTAGTTTCAGCGTCACTGGCGTACGCAAGGGATATTTGCGGGGTCAGAATAGCTCTACCGGGTATTTTGTTGTTAATAGATTTGTTGGTACAGTAATCAGAAACTATCAACAACTGACCGACACATGCGTATTTTATTAAAAGCGTATAGCGGCTATAGCCCTGTACCCCCCCCTAGATTCAGGCCTGGATCAAACTAATTTGATCAAATTAGTAATAATTAATAAAACTAACTGAGAAAAACCTCAAAAGTTTGTTTTTCGAATAATATTTTGTTTTTAACCGTTTTTTATTTATTGGAAAACAAGGAATCAATAAAAAAAAAGTTTGATTAGTTCGATCGTTTTATCAAATTTCATCGAGACTTAACCGGTGAAATGAATAACCGATTATTGTGTGTCGGTTAACTGGTCAAAAACCGGTTATTTCCCGAGTTCGGTTTAACCTGATAACCGATTATTTATGTCAAAAACCGCTTGCCGGTTATTTTACCGAGACAGAGTGAAAATTTAAGCTCTAGTTCACTGTACGATTAAAGTATATTGTGCTCTAACCCTAAACTTGATAGTAGATTAGACCACAGCATAGATAAAATAAATAAATATTTATTTTGCTGTGATCAGACGATCAGACTTAAGCCATCGTCGGCCGTACATTTTATTTAGTGGTCTGTGGGTCGGACTACGCTAATTAGGCTTCCTTGACGGGATAAAACATATTGGTCATTATGAAGTGTCAAAATAAAAATAAATTTCAGCTGTCAAATTAATGTTTTATTTTTCCTCGATATGAAAAACTAACCATTTGATAAAATTTTAAAAAATAAATATAAGCACTTGGTTGAATAAAAGTAAAAAAATATACATTTTTAAATCAGATACATGACTACATAATTTTTTCTATTAAAGAAATACAGAGATAAATTAGAGCACTTTTATTTATTAGGGACATATATAGATAGCACTTTTATTGCATTTTTATATTTTTATTTAGTAATTTATTATTTGAAAATGAAACAAAACATGTTTGTGATAATTGTTGCCTTTAAATGTTACATCATTATTTTCTTTAGTAAAATCTCACAAAAATTTAAAAGGGCCGATTATTTCAATAACCGGTTTTTAGGTAGAGGTTAACCGATTCAGGTTTAACCGACTAAGAAAAATAACCGGTTAACCGATAACCGGTTATTTTTCAATAACCGACCATTACTGGAGAAATGTTCAAATAAATATTTAGAAAATGTCAATTTAATCAAATCAGAGCTATTTAATGTTTTCGGAATTCTATGGCTTCAACAAACATTTCTAAAACATTTTGAAAATATTTGAATAGGTACTTAACATTTTAAAATGTATACCTAATATTAATTTGCTGCTTGGGTTTGGGATAGGTTTGGTGATGCGTGGTGGGTAAAAATACTCAAATAAATGAGTAGTTTGAAGATAATAACTTGTTTCATAGCTACATTATTTTTTTTTAATTATTTTTTTGTTAAAATTCATAAATGTTGCGTTAGTAACAACAGCTCATAGACAATTATAGCAGTTAGGTTTTTTCACCATGACAAGTTTTAACAGATGATCAATTAATATAGTACTTTATTATCATTTTATCTGAATAAAAACAAAACACCCTTTAGCTCCCACCCCGGCGCCGCGGCGCGCGCATTCCGCCACTTCTCGACCCGGCGTTGGGCCGTTCCCGAACGCATACATTCTCCTCTCTCACTCACGTCCAATTTCCAGCGTGGAACGTACGCTGCTCGACCGTCCCGCGGTCAATACTCACTGAGATCGATTCAACAGGTTGCCGGCGCCCGAAACCAACGCTCCCAGCTGTTTTTTCACCCGGCATCCAGTCGGCGGCGGCACAAGTGCATCAAGGGGGCGTGCTCCGCTCAAGTCAACCCTATCCCTGGAATAAGTGACGATCGCAGACGCGCCGCTGCATTCAGTTCACTCGACGTGGTCATTGGGATGTTCGTAAGTGCCTCCATATGGAAATCTGCTCAGATCCCAAAGTAAATGTTTGATAAAATAATCAAGTGGCTTGTGTGACAACTAAATCAGAGTGCATCCGAGAGGATATCGCGCGACCGGCTACGATCCAACGGGAATCATCCTCGCCTTTTTGAATTCAAAGTTGGAAAGCATCAAGTGTGTTTTACCGTTGCCATGGAGACTTTCGCGGTGGACAAATCCTTCTACGATATCGACTCGGCTGATGAATTGAAGGAGTTATGGGAGGCAGACTTAGATCCGGTAAGTTGAGTTATTTATCATACTTCGGTAATGGGTGGGTTTTTCTCCTCAGGTTTTGAATCCTGTTCGTACCGCGCCGGGTTCGCGGAAAAATTGTCTTGTGAGGTGTTTCCTGGAAATGCTTTCTTTGGCATGCTTTAAATAAATTTTAAAATGCTCTCTGCTTTCTGCAAAATACACAAATGTCATGTCGAAACAGAAGCCTCTAATTGTTGAGATCTGTTACCGGTATTGTTGTATGTACCTACACTTACTGTATTCATCTCGGTAGTCATGTATTTGTTCATTCATTATCAAAATCATATAAGAGGTGATTAATTAATAAGATACCTAGAATATAATTCAAATTATTTATAATAGGTAACTGTCTCAAATTAGAAGCTTTTATGCCTAGATACAAAAACAATTCATTGTTTTAATTGTTGACCGGCTTGCACCGCTTAGCTGTGTTATTTCTGGGCTTGCTTGATTTCAGTGTTTCAAATTTGCTTGATTTGTTGTGGAATTAGGCATTTATTTTTAGAATCCTTTCTTGAGTGATGTTATCAACATTAACATCTCTGTGACATGTGGTTTAGGATTATCTCCATATCGAGACAGAGTAAACGCATGTTCAGACACAATCTGACAATGTTAGTAAACCATTCGCAGAATTCGTCATGGAGATTATAAATCATAAGGTTGATTCGTGTTAATCACTGAATTATATTTGTCATGTGCGACGAAAGTTTAAGTAAACACGATTCTTATTGTGTTGTTTAAATTTAGATACCTACATGTAGTTCAGTTCGTGGTAATGCACTGTAAGTGTACTGTAATAAAAATAAATTTCGAGTTTGTGGTAATTTGAAAGTGGATAATACACTCGCTAATCTAGCGAACGTTTTCTATTTATAAATGTTATCGGTTTTTCTTTCCTCTTGTGTGTAAAACTGTTTCGTTAAATGTTTCCTTATTATTTTCAGTAGACTTTTTAAACGAGTTGTATAACATGCAATTTGGAAAACGTCTCTAAGAATTTTATATCTAATAAAACATTGTTCAGCTATTTGAAACGGTTGTGCTAGAGAAAGTATGTCCTCCAGTCTTTTCCTTAGAAAAAGGAATGGTGACTGTTATTCTATAAATAGCACTAAAATATTAAACAATCAACATGTGTCAATAAAAAGTCTCAATCTTGATTTTTGGATGAAAGTAGTTATAAATTTTTAGCCCATTTTGTTAAAAAATAACACGTATGCAGAAATATGCGGTAACAACTTTTAAACTTAGTTTATTTACCTGTTTACGAGAAAGACTAGACTAGATGCACTTTAACGGCAATTTGGCATCCCCATTACTTAGGTAGTAATGACTTAATAAATAAATACCTATCTAATTCTATTTACCTACAGATTAAATGCAATAATACTGAACAAAATATACCTCCAGTAGTTCAAAGGAACTTAGTCGTGGTAATAAAATAATAAATACGCCCCTTTATACCTCTAGGCATTTGTACGATTTAAATAGTAGGTAATTTTCAGGCTTTTCTTGCCCACAATTGATTTATTAGATGAACTATGTTGATGTCTAGCCGGTCGGTCACTTTTTTGTTTCTTTGACCCGCATCCTCAATGTAGACGCATCTGATAAATTAAAGTACCTATTAAACTATTAATAAAATTATACCGTGAATGGATAGAATTTTTTGTTTCTTCACTAAATCGTGGAAGCCGTTTCGGTGGCTTGTTGGGATGCTTCCTTCGAAACCGGATGTTTGGCGTGAATCCTTCATAGAATATCATGTGAAATTGCTTAACAGTGTGGAATCACCGAAGCAAATGGCAATTAGGCGAGCAAAAACCTCGTAATTAAGTGATTTAATTAATTCCATTGAGTTCGCATACTCGATTCGGTCGCGTTCTTATTTTTTGTTTATTTCTGTGGATTTCTACTACAAGCGTTTTCATGTTTGTATTTATTGCGAAATTTAAAGGTTTGTACCATTAAAACCGACTCCATTCCATTGAATTTTACGTTTTAAATTAATTGTACTTAAGTGAAGATACCAAATACTTGTACAGTTAGGCAAGATACGTAGTTTGCATTTTGAACTTTTTTGAACAAATACCGAGACAAATACGCTTGTTTAACTTATTTAACAAGTGCACTTTTGGTTGGCAACAAATAACATTTATTATTATCGGAGATAAGCCGGTCGTTTTTAATTTTCCAACCCACGAACGGGACTTATCGGTAACGATATCGGAGTCGTGCTCTTAGATACGGTCTGGGGCGGTATAAAAGTCCACATTATGGATTGTTAGAAATATGAAAATGTTTTTTGAAGGCGAGCGCAATGAGAACATATAGGGTGAGACAAACACGAAGCGGAAAGTCATCGGAATTATTTTAATTCCTTTTGTATTGCTTTTTCGACAACTTACGGCTCGACTTATGATAACATGTTGGTCGGATTGCGAATATTCTGATAGCGATAAAATCCCGAGACAAGTCCTGCCAAATATAATTTCAATAATTTGTTTTGCGATTATCTAAAAAGTTTTAGTGACCTAGTTATTTATTTTTAATAGCAAGTACTTAAAAACCTCATTTATGGTTATCGTACATCTTAATGGTTTATCTAAGAGATTAAAAAAATAACTTGTAGGTATACGCTATGTTGAAGGTAAAAATCACATGTTATCTTATCTGGAAGGAAGATTGATACATAATGCTGATAGCACTTTTTTCTTCATTTTAGTGTAGTGGAAGTGAGATGTTACAATTTTTTTTTGTCCTCAGGGATAAAAATTATAATTAATTTTGAAAAATATATAATGTTACTGTTTGATTCAGGACTTTTCGACATATTTCAGTTTAACACTATTTTTGAAAAATCGAGGCACGCGGAACAAACAATTGACTGACAGAAATTTATTTATCATCATTAATTTATTTCCTATAACAAACTATTTTAACAAAGAAATAATGTTTAGTGAGAACGAAAAATTTAAAGTTATCTGTTTATTTTATGACAAAAATCATTCTAACTTTAACATGGCATAACTTTAACAGAATTTTAATACCTAATTAATAATAATTAATAAAAACCCACTGAAACAAATAAGATCCACTTCTTATTTGTGGAAGGGCGAAATGGGCGGTGACTATTAGACGCCTTCATTATAGCCATCTTTCTCTATCGCACGGATTTCTATGACTTTCTTTATAGCTCTCACGTAACGGCCGATGAACCATGGGGACTTTCCGACCCTGTATATTG